GATTGTATTTCTGACAGTACCCTGTCAATGCACTCTTCAAGGTAGTTTTCTGCCATTTTGTTTTAAAAAATGCGGGGGATTGTGTACCAATGAGGGAATTTTTCTTTTGCTTTTCAAGGAGAGGAGCAAAGGGCGGGGGGAGGGGTTTGTGCGGGGAGAAGGATGCAACAATGAATGAATGGAATTACAAAATCTCTGTAGATGTTCATTGAAATGAAAAATAAACAAACTAAATTAAAAAAATAATCTTCAGTAAAACTCTGTGTGACATTAAATGTATTGTTTGATGATTTCCACAACCTGTTGGATCATCTTTTTTTGAAATAAGAACAAATATTGATTTTTTCCAGTCAGTTAGCCAGGTAGTTGTGAGTCATTCAGAGTGGAATTTGTTTGCTGAAACATATCAGTTGGTATTCCATCAATTACACCTTATTTAAAGTTCACAGAATGATCTCTATATACATGTATGTGTTATGTGTTTTTTCTTTAAATTATGCAATTCACAAGCTTTTAATGATAAAAAAAAATTAACAGATGGTAAACTATTAGCTTGGTAAGCTTTTGTTTGAATCACAATTTTAAGTAAATATAAGAATCCATCGTGGCACTAGCGACATTATTACTAATATCAGATGGATCTTGATAAAAAGCAGAGAGTATCAAAAGAACATCTATCTATATTCCACTGACTGTGCAATTGCATTTGTGTGAATCACAAGGAATTGTGGCTAACCTTGAGGAAAATGGGAATCCCAGAACACTTGATTGTTCTTATGTGAAACCTATACTTGGACCAGAAAGCAGTCCCCAGGACAGAGCGAGGAAATACTTCATGGTTCATAATCAGGAAAAGAGTGCATCAGGATTCATCTTGTCCCCATAACTTTTCAATCTCTACACAGAACAGATCATTCATGAAGCAGGATTTATGAGGAGGAATGTGGCATCAAGATTGGAGGAAGACTCATCAACAACCTATAATATACAGATAACACAACCTTGCTTGCTGAAACTGAAGAATACCTGAAATGCTTGCTGCAAAAGGTCAAGAACTGTAGTCTTCCATATGAATTGAAGCTCAACATTAAGAAGACAAATATTCTCACCACTGGGCCAACTGGCAGCACCATATTAGATGGAGAAGAGATTGACGTTGTTAAAAACTACACCTTCCTTTGCTCCACAATTAACACTCTTGGCACCAGCAGTCAGGAAATCAAAAGACAAATTGCACTGGGAAAAAATCTACTTTCAGGGATCTCTCCAGAGTGCTGAAAACCAGTAATGTCAGTCTAGAGACTAAGGTGTGTCTAATCTAGGCCATACTTGCTATGCTTCAGAGAGCTGGACAATGATTAAAGATGACAGAAGAAGAATAGATGCCTTCAAGTTGTGGTGTTGGAGAGGAATCTTGAGCAGACCATGGACTGCCAAGAAAACAAATAGGCCTGTCTTGGAGAGGGTGAAACCTGGTCTCTCCTTGGAGGGTAGGATTTGTAAGCTCTGTCTCACATACTTTGGGCACACGGCCAGGAGAGACTGGTCCTTGGAGAAAGACAGCATGCTTGGAAGGGTGGCGAGACAGTGCAGGAGAGGAAGACCCCAGATGAGATGGACTGATACAGTAACTGGGACAATGGGGGCTGATGTGTCAGAATTAGTGAGACTGGGTCAGGACAGGGAAGGATTCAGAGCTGCTGTACATAGGGTTGCTATGGGTCACAAATGACTCAACAGCACATAACAACAACAATGTATTAAATTGGTTGTTAAGTCGCTTGTTTAGAGTCAACAAGAGGACCTTTGTATTTTAAAGTTGATTGTTATTATATTTTGGAGGAATATTCTTCTAAGTGGTATAGCATTCTTCTATCAATTTGCTGTACTGAGATAACCTGGGATTGCTGTGATGCTGAACCTTGTACCACTGAGGTGTCAAATATCATAACGGTTACCCATGGTGAACAGTATTTGGTGGAGCTCTCAGTTTAAGACAAGTTTGGAAGCAGGAGTGGCATCCACTTCTTAAACATGCCTATGGAAACTCTTTTAACTTTGGGAAATGAAGATCATTATACAAAAGCTTCAGGTTTTTTGTTCATAGGGTCACTATAAGTCGTGGTCGACTCAATCTCAATCAACAACATCAACAAAAACATTATTTATCTACTATCCCTGAAATTATTTAGGTATAAAATAAAATTGTTGTGTTTAACATACAATGAGAGATACTGGATCATTTGTCTTTTGCATGTTGAAACATTCTATAAATTTTGAGTCCCTTATCAGCTATGTCATCACCACCTAATTTCTCCCAGTCTGTTATCTTCCTTTTTTACCTTTTGGAGAGGTTTTGGGTTTTTTTTTTTTTTGGCACAGACAGGATTTGATTTTTTAGAAGGTCTCATTCACCTATTTTATCATCTGACTATGGGGTTTTGGTTTTACTTGAAAGTCTATTTATATGATAGAGTAAGGCTTCCTAGACTTGTTCCTTTTTTTTTCCCCCTCTAATGATCTTTAAAGCTTTGAATTTTACCCCTAGGTCCTTGAGTTGGGGGGTGGGTGGGTGTGTGTGTGTGTGTGTGTGTGTTGTGTGTATGCATGTCTGTATGTGTATGGTATGAGATGTGGTTCCTGCTTCATATTCTACTGATGGATGTCCACTTTTTATAGCACCATTTGTTCAAGAGGCTGCCATTCCCCTATTCAAGTGATTTTGTCTCCTTGACAAAGATCAAGTGACCATAGGTAGATAGGTTGACTTCTGAGTCCTCAATTCTCTTCCATTGGTCCATGTGTCTGTTGCTGTACCAGGACCATGCTGTCTTGATTACTATGACTGAGTAGTATATTTTGAGGTCAGAGACTGTGACCTTATTCACTACATCAAAAATATAAAAGCAGCTTAAGTGCCTATCAATAAATAAAGGCACAGACAAACTGTGGACATCCACACAATGTAATATACACAGCACTGAAAAACAAAAGGACTTGTAAAACACTATAGCATGTGAATGAATAAAGAAAACATTATGCTAAGTGAAATACGTCAGTCACAAAATGACAATTACCACATAAGACCATTTTTGTAACAATAGGATGGATACAGAGGCAATAGAGTAGAAAAAGAATAGATCGTGAGCACTGCACTGGGTGAAGGGAAAGGCAATATGAAAAGAAAGGATGATTAGACATGACGTATATGACAATGAACCATCTGGAACAGGAGAAGCATTACAAAAATTGGGGGAGAGGAGGGAAGAAAATATGTATGAATGAATGAAACTCAATCTCTGTAAATATTCACTAAAATAACAATTTAAAAGTAAAAGAAAAAATAAGAGCAAGTAAATTAACAGGTTAAGTCAGATGCTGCCTACCTTCTGGTCTAAACCCTTCAACTCCCTTTGAAGAATAAACAAAATTCTTTGTCCTAGAAGTCTCTGTACAATCAGAGTATGGCCCTGTCCGATCTTTTCTCTGACATATTCCCCCCTCCTTTAACCACGTTGGCCTCGTTATTGCCTCTGAAATGCCCAACACAGATCACTTCAGGGTCCCCTTCCTTGCTGCTCCCTCTGCCCACCGTACCACTCCCAGTATCTGCACAGCTCCCTCTCTTGTACAATTCAAGCATCTTCCTAGTATCCCCTCTTGAATTAACTTTCCAAGACCAACCTACAAATACTATAAATCCTACATACTTATCTTGCTTTATTTTACTTTGAGGCACTTGGTAGAGCACATATTTGTTCTATGTGGTTTTCTAACAAGACTATAAATTTCATAGAGCAGGAACCCTGTGTTTGGACTTTCCATTGTTCCAAATGTGATCGCAGAGCTATACCTAGAACTTCATTTGGTACAGTCATAGCAGATATCCTGAATTAACTGATGACTGGATAGATTCCAGCATAAGCAGAGACAAAACAGTAGGAAAGGACCCCAGTGAGCCGATGACCACGGCTCTGGTGCCTGGCCTTCCAGCACACCAGTCAGCAGACTACACCCAGACTGCTCTCTCCATGGGCAGAGTAATCCTAATCCCAGTCATACGTCTCTCAACAGTCATACGTCCTGCTACGTAATGAAGGAAAGAAGGGGCTCACAGCACCAGAAGCCTCCTTAGACGGTATCTGTCCCTTCTGCATGCCTGGCTCCTAGCCCTGACCCTGATGGGCGGTGCTCACCCGGATGGGACAGTATTTGCCAAGTGCTAGTTGACACAGGCTCAAAGACCACAACCATATAAATGAATGAAGGGAGCTCAGAGAGTGGCTCAGAGTGGTCTGGCCCCAAATGTCACAGAAAGCAGTGCTTCGCACCATTGGTTCCACCTAAAAATCACCAAGGGTAGGTGGAGGGAAGGCGTAAAGGAAATGGGAAAGATCTGGTGGAGATCTGGAAAGACCGAGTAATGGGGAGCAGAGTTCAATGTTGATTCATTTTTAAAAATACAATGAATGGGAATTATTGTATGAAACAACGTGAATGAAGAATAGTGTGAAACACAATGTACATGAATTCTGTATGTAAACCAAAATAAAATATTAAAAAAAAATCACCTAGGGAACTTTTTAAATCTTGATCAGAGGCTAAGCTCAAAAACTAGTTAAACCGTAATCCCATGACACACAACCTAGGCATCAGGGCTTCCAAACACTAACCACCAAAACCCATAGCTATCAAGTCAGTCTCGACTACACCAACCCCATATGTTACAGAATAAAACTGTTCCAAAGTGTTTTCTTGGCTGTAGTCTTAACAGGAGTAACGTGCAGACTTTATTCCGCAGCACTGCTGGGTGTGTTCAGACTGCCAGGTGCATTGAGGATGACCACAGCTAGACAGGTGCATCATGTCTGTACCACCTGGGGAATGTGCAACCTCGCCAGGTGTGATCAGGTAAGGAGCTAATGGAGGATGACACTGAACTAGCAAAGTGCAGGTGTTCTGCCTGGAAAGGGGGTGGGAGGGAGGCACTGGCTCCTTACCTCACCAAGGTGTCACTACCCGCTCCTCCCGGGCTGTAATATAGCACATTTTCCAGTGACAGGGAGAATTTCAGGCCCTCTGCCTCTGAGATATACAGGTTGGTACGGTTGTTGCTATGACTGACACACACAAACACCTGGTCCTCCGAGGCATCTGCGATGTAATATTCCTTTGGAACCAAAAGGGGGAAAAAAGTGTAAATCAAAAAATACTTCATCACTGTAAGCTCTCCCTAGACACAGGAGCAAAGACCCCTCAGGCAGCTGACCAGTCTTGACAAGGAAGTGAGAGAGAGCAAAGGCTGGTCTGTAACTGGAGTGGATCCTGCAGTTGAAAACTGAGATCACTAAATTATCTAAACCCTGTTTTTAGTTAATACTATCTCCTTCTTTTAACACAATTATCTTTTGTCCAGGTTTTGATCTCTCCCAACTGTTCTCAAATGGCAGAGTTCAAATCTTCTCCCTTTTGGAAGCATAAACACCTATGAGCAACGATACACCCACTGCCACTGAGTCTCTTCTGACTTACAGCAGCCCTCCCTCCACTGGGTTTATGAAGTTGTAAATCCTCATAGTCAGAGTCAACTCTTCATCTTTCTCTCCAAGAGGAGCTGATGGATTTGAACCATTGACCTTACAGTCGGTGACCAACATGTAACACACAAGTAGTTAATACCTGTATTGGCCCCCTAGCCCTTTATTGCTGGCAGGCTGAGCCCAATGGCTCCAGCTCCACACCTCTTCACTTAAAATCCTCTTCACTCAAAAGCTCTTCTTCAAATCCACTCCAACCAGAGATGTAGGAAAACAAAAGCCCAAAACCCAACAGCCCTCAAGAGGACTATTTGGAAAATGATGCCACGGAGCTGCCCTCAAATATCTCCTCCCAGGGCACACCTCAAGACACCCTTCTTCAACGCAAGGTCATAACCCCTCCTCCAGACCCAAGCCAACCCCACTCACATCAATAGGATGCCTTGTGACAAACTGGGCTGCTCGCATGGGCTTCCGGCCAAAGGAGACCCAGAGCTGGACAGAAGACTGCTGCTGGCTGCCCAAGAGGTGCTGCCAAGAAGAAAGAGAGAAAAATTAATTGTGCCAGATTTTAACTACGCAAAACAAGGAAAATAGGAGGGTCAGACATTAAAATAGAGACTATGACGTCAAATTCACATTGTGGCAATGTGTGCCGTCAGTCACAGCTCTGTTCTATCTGAGGTGGCTGGTGTGCAATAGTCCTTAAGTGCCATGGCCAAAGGCAATTCCGACTCATAGCAACACTGTGGGACAAAGCAGAACAACCTCATAGGGTTTCCAGGGCTGTCAGTCTGTACAGAAGCAGAGTGCCACATATTTTCTGCAGTGGAATGGTTGCTGTGCTGGAATCACCGGCCTTTCAGTTAGGTGATGAATGCTTTAGCCACTGTACAACCAGGGCTCCTCTGGTCCTCAATAGACAGGAGGTAGTCCAGGGATATTAGATGGGTGGGGAGACAGTGGTATGGTAGGGAGAAATCAGGAGGAGCATGAAAGATTAAGCAGAGGGAGCAGTGAGGTTGGGGGTGGGGCAGAGATGGAGAGGGCTGAGTTGTGATACAGCAGTAGAATGTGGTCAGGAAGTGTCCCCCACCCACCTGCCCCAGAGTCTGGTGAGACCAGCCTTTCTAACCACACCCAATGCCAACAAACATACATCCTCTTCCTTCCTAGCCCAATTTCTGAAAATTACAAAGATAAACAAATGCCAAAGTTTTAGTTTGCAGAAAATTTCAAAAGCCCTGCCTAGGTAATAAAATGCTATACCATGGATAAAGGTGATCCATTTGAATCACCCTATACACATATGTGGGAGCTCTGGTGGCCTAGGGGGAAGGAGTTGCGCTGTCAGCCCAAAGCATTATGGTTCAAATCCACTAGATGCTCCTTAGCAGAAAGACGGCAGCCTACTCCCGTGCAGTTTACAGTCTCTGAAAACTGACTGGAGGGTCAGCCATGAGTCAGTTCTGACTCAACAACATCTAACAACAACAACAACAAAATATACATATATACATCTAGGGAGCTCGAATGGTATAGTCCATAGAAAGTTACATGCTATCTCAAAGGCCATTTAGGTCTGAGATTGTATTAGGAGCAAAAGAATTGAGGGATTAAGGGGAAAGGTGTAGGAAGGAACTAAGTAACACATCTTTGCCAAGGGAGATCTGGTGGCCTAGTAGGTAAGGAGTTGTGCTGCCAAATCTAAAGCAGGCAGTTCAATTCCACCAGCTGCTTCAAGGGAGAAAAGTGTGCTATCTCTTCCTATGCAATTTATAGCCTGTAAATACCCACTGGAAGGTCAGCTGAGTCAGTTCCAACTCAACAGCAATGAGATTTTTTTTGTGAGTTTTTGCTGAGGAAAGACCAATGGATGCTCCAAGGAGCTGCTCCATTTAAAGTTCAATAGGACCTCGAGCAGAAAAACCCAGTGTGAGAACTGAGGCATTGCAAAGCATCTCATGGCACCTGGGCACCAGTTAGGAAGCACCCAGGTTCTAGCATTCACGTCTATACGTTTTCTTGGGAGCAGTAATGAAGGTTCAACCAAACATCATCCTTCACACTAAATGTTATTTACTCTGAAAAATTTACAGACAAAACAATATGACATCTATAACTCACTTTCAAATATCTTGGTTGGGTAGGAGGAGCAGTAGGATAGAGAGCTAAAAAGAGACTGGATAAGAGGATGTGGAATCTGGACAAGGATATATGAGAAGACATCACTAATACAAACTTCTCTTTTTAGCACACTTAAAATTTTGTGTAATAAAAAAGTTTACAGCATTAAGATTAATTGGAAAGCATTACTAAATGGTAGAGTGTGATGGTGGCCTAGTAGTAAGGAGTTGTGTTGCAATCTCAAAGGTATGTGGTTCAAATCCACTAGCTGCTCTGCAATAGAAGGACAGGCCATCTCCTCTCATGCAATTTACTGTCTCTGAAAATCTACTGGAGGGTCTGCTATGGGTCAGTTCTGACCCGAAGGCACATAACCTTACCACCAATAGCAGCGTAACAAATTCTGAAAACCTGCTCAGATAAAAAAGCAACAAGAATGCTGAAAGAAATTCTCAAAACTAACCAGTTAAGAATTCTGAAAATTAAAATTTACAACAATCTGAAGAGCATTTATTCCAGAAAGTTGAATCTCAGCAAAAATAGCCTACTTTGTGGCAAGTTATTTTACCCTGATCGCGTTCCCCTTCGTGTAAACTATAAAGTGTATTTAAAAACGAACAGCCTCATAATCATAAAAGATATAAATACATATGTAATTCCTCAGCAAAATAAAGCAAATGAAATCCAGCAGCATATAAAAATATTAAACACCAAAACCAAGTGAAATTTATCCCAGGAATGCAAGTTTGGTTTATTGTCTGAAAAGCAATCAATATAATACATCCTAACAATAAAGAAGCAAAAAGGTACGATCATCTTCATTGACCCTGAAAAAGTACCTGACAAATCAAATAAATACTCTTTCATGATAAAATGCTCAACAAACTATAAAGGGAAACTTTTTCAACCTGATAATGGTAAAAAGACTTACTGCTTCCTTCTCCCCTAAGACCAGGAACTCTACAAGAATGTCTGCTCTCTGCATTTCTATTCAACATTGAACTGTATTTTGCACTCAACGTAATTAGACAAGAAAATGACACAAAAAAGGTACTAGGACTGAAAGAAAGAGTAAAAATATCTCTATTTGCAAATGCCACTACTTATATATACTGAAAATACTAAAGAATGCATGAACATGCAACAAAATTTAAAATTAATGAAAGAATTGTAATATTTTGTTGCATTACAACTAATAAAAAGAAATTGTAATATTTTGTTTACAACTAATACAGGCATATGGGAGTTCTGGTGGCCTAGTGGCAAGAAGCAGTTCAAGGCCACCAGTTGCTCCATGGGAGAAGGATGTATACTCTCCTCCCATAAGATTAACTACTTCTGATAACCCACCAGGACCGGCTATGGGTCAGTTATTGCTCTATGGTACATAACAACAACAGTAAAGGAATTCAGCAAAGCATATAAATCAACATAAAAACCAATTGTATTTCTATACTACTAATGAACAATATGAAATTGGAATTAAAAAAACAATTCCATTAGCAGCAGTATAAGTAGATAAATGAGATTTCATCAAAATTAAAAATTTGTGCATCAATGAATGTTGCAGACCTAATGAGACAGACAACCAAGAATGAGGTAAGAGAGAATATAAAGAGAGGGACCCAGCAGTCCTGATGACAGAAGAGCCCAAACCATGCCTTTGTATACTTATTGAGAATCCTCAGGAAGGTAAACAAAGGGTAAACACGCAAGGTAGTAGAAAACAAAAACAAAGGTGGGTGTGGGGGGAGGGCTGAGCTGGGAGAGAAGTGCAGCAATGAATGAATGGAAATTCAAAATCTCTGTAAACGTTCATTAAAATTATTAAAATAACATAAAAATTACAAAAAAAAAAACCCAACAAAGGTTCATGGGGAAGTCTTGCAGCTAAGGGAGTTCTCTATTTACCTTATACTAACAAATTGGCCAACTGACTGGAAGAGGTCTATATTTGTTCCCATCCCAAAGAAGGGTGACCCAACTGAGTGTGAAAACTACAGAACAATATCATTGATTTCACATGCAAGCCAGATTCTGTTGTTGTTGTTGTTGTTATGTGCCGT